TTGAGAATTCCACAGGTGGAGTGATGAAATCCTCCAAAAATGTCTTCATTTCCTTTATTTTTTTATGCATATTCAAAAAAATCTAGAATCTTGCCTGTTTATTAACTTCTCCTGGCTCGTCAATGTTAATTAGAGTGTCTCTATTGCCCTCAAGTCTGTAGTCATCCTGAATTCCTCTTTCTCATTGTGTCTACCTTTCACTGTACATAAATGCTCACAGCCACTCACCATGGCCACAGCCTTCCTGTTTCTGTCCTTGGGCAGCCAGCATGAGTTCGTTGACAATGTCAGTTAGTCCATGTCCCTCCTCCACTCTAGACTTACTAGAGGCTCCTGTCTTACTCAAAATAGCCCCAACTCCGATACTCCCCTTTTCTCTATGATGTTCCTCTAAACTTCTCTCTACTCCCAACCCCTAACATTTCTCCTCTTACTCCCATGACTCTTATATTTATGGAGCATGTGAGCATTCTCCAAAAGCCCCCCAGAGTTGCAGGACTTTTTCAGAAGTCCTCCTCCTATCTGGAATTATTTTCCTTGGAGACCTCATGACTTATTCCCTTGCTCGGTTAAGGTATCTTCTTGGACATTACTTATCAGAAAACCCTTCCCTGCCCACCACTTTTCCCATCACTTCAGTCGCTTGCCTTTTCTTGTGTCATTTGTTAAGCTCTGTCTTCCTGACTGTCTTCCCACCATTGCAATCTGAGCAGGGTCCTAACTGGGTGGGCTCACTGAGTATTTCCAGGTTTTAAAGCAGTGCCTGGTACAGAGTAGTAGATAATTATGTCTTAGAGACAAAAAAGTTACACTCATGTTTCACTAAAAATTTTCACCTTCCTATTACATGGCTATAAAAATATTTTGTTGTAAGGATATGATAATTGAAATGTCTTATTAAGTGTCCATATTTTTGCCACTATGAACAAAATTTTGGCACTCTCCAAGTCAAATATATATTATTTTCTTACAATAAGCTTTTATAAGTATTTTTTTCTCAAATTGCCATTTATCATTTATATATCCACCAGTAGCTTTTGAGAATGACTCTCACAATCCTCACTAATACTAGGAGTTATAATTTTCCAACTAGCCAGGTTTAACTTGCTATTTGATTTAAATAGCAATGAAGTATAACTGTTATCTGTTATTACCTATTTATAATAAAAACAATTTTGTGTTGTATATTTTTCAATGGAATTTTCTACTGATTTCTAAGGTCTTTTAATATATTAAGTTTTGGTAATTTTCTCCCAGTTTATCATTTAGGAAGAAATTGAAGGAACTGGATAAAAAGGATGGAGAGACAGTCAAACTTGAGGGCACATCCTTGCCCTTTCTTCTATTTCTGTTCCACACGCTTATTTCTAACTTTCTATTGCGTGTTCCCCCTGGTGTCCCAAGCACTGATAGTTAAAATGCAGTGTGTTATCCTTCCCACAAATTCCCATTGACTTTTCTGCTGTCTTCGTGATAATGCTGTTCTTGCCACTGCTCACTCTGGAAGCTTCTTAGCCGTGTTTCCAAGTCTCTTCCCCCTTTCCTTTTACTGGCTGAGAGCTACAGTGCTGGGCTCACATAGAACTGCAAGGGTCCCCTGGTTTTGCCCTCCCCCCTCTGGTCTGTGTTACACACTTCACACAATTAACCCTGAAGCCCAGCTAGGCAATTTCTCCGCTCAAAACCCATTACCTTTTTCCTATTATTTAACTATCAGCTCATAGCTGCAGCAGATGGCTTTCCTAACCAGAAGTGACACCTGTAATTATCACTTACTTTCCTACCTCACGGTCCAATCTTTTGAACATATATGAGCTCGCCAGCCGCTGTGCCTCACACTGTGCTGTCTCAGAAATTCTTGTTCTTGCAAATTTGTCTATCAAAACACTGCTCATCGTGAAAGTCTCAGATTGCATGCAGAGACCTCCCTGGTCATCAGTTTCAAGAGATGTCCCCTCTCAACCTTTTGTAATACTCGGTGTTTTTTTTTGTTTTTTTTTTTTTTAATAATACTCCTTTTTTTTTGTCTCTTATGCAATTGTTTTACTCACTTTTGCTTGCATTTTATTTATCCTTATGAACAAATTTCTTCATTCCTGAGGTGGTTTTGTTTACCCATTTGTTTACACCAGGCCTTTCACAAAGCAATACTCAGTATACTTTGTTTAGTAAAGTAGTGAAATGTGAACAGTTCAGAAATCATTAGTACAGTGACGATGAATTGAAAGTCTAATAATAACCTCTCTTCCAGATTAGTCAGATTGTGAATGGGTGAAACTGGGTTTTGTTTTGTTCATTAAATGTAATTATTTACATATGGAACTAAGTTGGCATAAAACTGAAGTTTGAGAGGACTGCTTTTTGTCTTCTACCGCCGTATCTGTGTTCAGGTAAAGTCAGACTTTGTTCTTTCCATCTTCTTGACTTTTAAAATATGCTCAGAAGACCTGGCTACCATTCTCGAGAAAGCAGTTTTCAAATTTGGTGTATGTTGGAATTGGGGCCTGGGGAGATTTTATATTTCTGAAGCTCAGGAATCATCCAGCCCAAAGTAAACCAGTTTCTGGTTGGGGAGGGGGGGTTGATACTGGAATCCATGTTTTCCTTAATCACTTGCCAGGTGACTTCAGTGTACAGCCAAGGCTGATGCTCTGTGACAAGAACTCTTTTCTCAAATCTTTATTCCTCTGAGGACCATGACAGAGGAGCCGAACCCCCTTCTGGAGCCCAGGTCAGTTTTGTGAGCTGTACTCCAGGGGGTTCTGACCCACTTCAATATTTAGGAAGCCTGCTCTAATAGCTGGATAGCACTCTTTCAGGGTGAGACTGTTCAGTCTAAGGTTAGGCCATGGCTTATTAACAGGGCCCTGAGGGCATGGTGTTGATTAGTGGGAGCCCCTTTGGGAGAACCCACTAGGTCACATGATAAAAACATATTTAAAGACATTTTCCTGAATGGTAGCTGGACATTTATTGATTTAAATTGGTTGTAAAACTAAACTTTTAGTGCAAAAGAAATAATTTTTTGAACATGATTACCACTTTGTCAAGAAAAGGAAAAATGATAGAGAACATATGTGATGTATAATGTGCATCTGTGCGGTAAGTCCAAGCATCCTACTCTTCTTGTCTGCAGAGACTTGACTGTGTCTGCAGTGGCTGAGAAATATTCTGTAGTGTTGGATGCTATTTCTGTTTATGCTTAAGGCAGGATACTATACAGAAGATTTGGATTTCCTTTATTCATGGGCAAAAATAACTCAAAAGACTTTCAAAAAATAACATAATAGTTTATATCATTTTGTGGCTTTTTCTATCTCAGCTGTAATCCCGTGGGCTTCCCATCACCAATTCACCCGTGTGCCATCACCATAGTCCAGAGCACTACTTCCTCCCACCGTTTTTGATCCCATTCCCCACTCCACTTCCGTAAAATGTCTCTAGTGTATAGTTGTTCATTATTATTTCCCTCCCACCCCCCGGTCCTTTATGCTTCTATGAGTGAAACCATCTGGTATGTTTCTTTTTCTTTCTGGCTCATTTCACTAAGCACAATCCCTTCCAGCTCCATCCATGTTGCTGCAAAAGGCATGGGCTTATCTTTTTTGATTGCTGAGTAGTATTCTACTGGGTATATGTACACATCTTTTTAATCCAGTCATCTACTTTTGAGCATTTGGGTTGATCCCATGTCTTTCCTATTGTAAATAAAGCAGCAATAAACATGGGGGTGCAGGTATCTTTTTGAATCAGTGTTTTTGTGTCTTCAAAAGACTGTTTTTAACATTGAAAAATGTGAATTGGGGTCTGTTTCCTGTATTGTCCATCCAAATGCTTCCAAAGTCTAGAAAACCTAACTCTGATTTTTTTTCCTTTTCCTGGTCAGATATTGTAGAATTGCTCATTTTTACCCTGTTGGTTACTGTTCATCTCTACTCAGGTTCTTCAAGCACATGGCATTTCTCCCTTTTCAATATTTTCACTTTAAATTAGATATTCTCTAATGTCTTTTCCAGTCCAAAAAAATCTATGATTCTGACGAACTGGACTCTCAACTTGAAATAACCAGGCTTTTGTCTCTATACTTGATACTCTTAGCAGAAATATTTCAGATAGCTGGGCGTACTTTTGATTTTCCATTTATTTTTTGCACACAGGCTTTGTGGTTTGAAAGGGTTTGTAGTAATTGAGTACCTAGGCTATTACCACAGATAGAAGAGTAGATGTGTAGTTTGTAGAACTGATGGTATGTTTCTTCTTCTTTCTGGCTCATTTCACTAAGCACGATCCCTTCCAGCTCCATCCATGTTGCTGCAAAAGGCATGGGCTTATCTTTTTTGATTGCTGAGTAGAAACAGTAGAAACACAGTAGAAACAGTGATGTTAATTAACAAACATTTCAAGTATTTTAAGCCTTTGTGAAATTTTAAGGCCCACCAAAAGTAAGTGGATATCATTGTTACACATGACAGGTGATTTGCTTTTCACTTGATTCCCCATTTGTGGCTGTTGCTTAAGAAATTTTTTGCTTCTCACCCAAGGAAGCTCAGACTATGTTGTCTTCTGTGAGACATCACTTAACATAGTAACTGCATCTAGGTTTACTGGCATAGCTAAGGATTCGTTGGAAAGGGTAGACAGCAAAGAGACTTCAGATGAGTGAAGTATTCCTTTGTTTGGCAACTGACGGAACCTACAAGTTGAAGTGTGCTTGTAACTTTTCGTGTCTTTTGTCATTTTTTTTTTTTTAACACCTGAGACGCTACATGACTATTTACTTTCTTTTCTGATACACTTGGGAAGTGGAAGCACTGCTGTATGAGTGCAATTCTGTGGGTCGTAAGTATCCCAGTTGGGCAGCAGAGGGCACTAGGAAGCAAACAGACTTAAAGGAAAGATTTTTCATAGGTAATAGGCAGAATGCTCTAACTTTGCTGGTTAGTGATTGCCTCGGATAATCAAATTACATGACCAATACAACTGTGTCAGTGAAAGAACATCTAAGTATATACACTGAAGGGAAAAATAGACAATAAAGATGAATGTCCTTCAGATAAATACTTCACTTTAGAAAAGGGACATTATTTAAAACATAAGCTACAATTAATAGCTTTCATCCTTTTAAAACGTACTGTTCAAAAATAAAATAAAGCATGCAATTCAGTGAGTTTGAGTATATTCACAAAATTGCATAGCCAGCAACACTATAAAAACCTAGAACGTTTGACTACTCCAGAAAGGAATCCTGTATACAGTAGCAGGTACACCCTTCCTTTCTCTAGCCTTTGGCAACCACAAATCTAAATTTCTGCTTGTAAGGACTTTCCTATTCTGAAGACTTCATAGAAATGTAAAAATTTGTAAAAACATACAATTTTTTTTCAGTTTTACACGTGTTGCAGCATGAATCAATGCTTTCTTTTCATGGATGAGAAATACTCAGTTCTTTCACGTGTGAAAAAAACCTTATGGCTGAAATAGAAATACTGTATTTGAGTAGTGCGTTTTATTTATCCATTCACCTGCTGATACTTGTTTTTTCTTACTTTTTCATTATCATGAATAATGCTGCTACATTTGCATACATGTTTGTGTATGAACATATGTTCTCATTTCTCTTGAGTATATCCCTAGGAGTGGCATTCTGGTCCTGTAGTAACTGATTACTTTTGAGTAGCTGCTAAAGTGTTTCTATAGTGGCTCTATCCTGTTAAATTCCAACCAGCTCTTACCCAAGAGGTCAGTTTCTTTACATCTTTACCATCTCTTGATTATCTGTCTTTCTCATTGTAGATTCCCTAGTGTGTGTGGAATGTTATTTCAGAGGGTTTTTAATTTGCACATCCAATAAATAGAATCTAAATATTTAGGTTTTTCCTTTCATCCTCTTGGTAGACTATTTGAATATACAGAAATTAGTTTTAAGTCTTTTTCTTTTCCCTCCCTCTCTACTTCACTGCTTCCCTTTTCTCTTCCTTCTTTCTACCAGGAACTGACAAAGCTGCTTTCCTTATCGACATTAAAGACTCTGAGTTGTTGAAGGGATTGACCTGTCCTTGAATCAAAGTTGGTAATGAATATATTATCAGAGGTCATATTGTCCAACAGGTAAGGAGAGAAATTAGAAGACATATGAGCTATGATCTTGTAATATCTGTATACATATGGTGTCTGTATATTTTTCCACTTCTGGTGATGTCTGTAACAAAGACTTTTGTAGAAAAGCAAAAAAGAGCTAGAGGGGAATGTGTATTTCAGAGGTTTTCCCTTGTGATGTACAACCCAGTAAATGTTCTTGTGTTGTCTTTCTAGTGTGAAGTGTAACATTTTGAGAGTTTTCCCTTAGGTAATAAGTCTATTTGCAAATGCAGGCAAGTTCTTTACTTGTGATCAATATCTTTGTTGCCCAGGTAAGAAGTTTTCAGAGTTATTCATTCCTGAAATGAAGAAACATGGACAGTTGGCATCCTTCACCTATTTGGAATACTACCTTTCTAGAGAAATAGACACATGGTGACATATGATGAGTTCAGGGAAAGTTTCAGAACATATATGGAAGTGAGTACACTTAAGGAGGGACAACTGAAAACAGAAATAGGACATGGAAGGTTCTGTATTGTTTGTTCAGTAGCTAGGAGATTAATTATTTTAATTTCTTGAAGTAATGTTGGTTTACAACACTTCATGTTTAAGGTTTACAACAGTATAATTTAAACCCATGTACATTGTATTACCATTCCCAGCAAAAGTCTGTATCCATCCATGATGATATGATTTCACCTGTTTTGCCCACTCCTGTCCCTTTTTCCCCTTCCTCCCAGTGATCATCTGTGTATCTTCAAATCTAAGAGCTTGTTTTTATTCAAGTTTTGGTTGCATAACTTAATTGTTCTACAACTATACATACCACAGAGGATCACTACTGTATGTGCAGAGTCCATCCAATATGAGAAAGTGGACCTCTTTTACCTATTTTTTACTCACTCTACCCCACTCTCTTCTGGTAACCACCATTTTGTTGTTCAGCATCTATGGACTTGATTTTTGTCTTCTCATTATTCACTTGCTTTGTTTCTTTACACGCATGTGCATACACACACACATACACACACATATTTTGCTTTGCAGTTATTGTACCTACAACATTATATGTTTATGATCTGTTTTGGGTTGACAGTTACTTACATTGGAACACATTCCAAAGCGACCTTATTTTTGTTTCCCTTCTCCCATTTTGTATTTTAAATCTTAATTTTATATCATTACCTTCTGTATCCTCAAATTCTTGTAGCCTTAGTTAATTTTACTATTTTTTGTTTAGTCTCATGCTATTTTTAAAACAGATTTATTTATTTATGCATAAAGAACTGGGGTACAGGCCAGAGGTGTGGACGTGGGGGTGAGGGGATTCACCAGAGACAGAATGGGGAGCAGAACAGGCCAATGTACTGAAATGCACTGCTGAGGGGAGCGGTGGGATGGTCAGGAGAGGTCTGTCATGCCATGTAGGCCAGCTCCTGGGCGGGAGATAGAACTCATGCTGCAGTGGCTTTAGAGAGCTTCATGGTGCTGTGCTACCAGGGAGGGCCCTCATGCTTACTTTTTTAGTGACCAAACTACTGCTTTTACTACTATATCATTTACCTTTCCAATGAGATTTTTTGTTCTTCTATATGTTTTCTTGATGTTAGCATTAACTTGTCAGGCATGAAACTCTGATATGCTCCTAAGGCACAGATCAGTGATGTGCTCTATGTCATAGTGAGTGGAGTTCATTCCAGGGGTCTCCACAGGCTCTCCTAGGTTGGGAGAATGGTACCAGCAATGACACCTGCTATGACTATCATTAGCAAGGCCTGAGAAGTGGTCAGTAAGACACCTGCCAGTGTTTACAACCCAGATTTTATTCCTACAACTTATCTCTCAGCTATAGTCTATATAAGAATCACCTATGATTTTGGTGCTTTTTGGATGGGTGTTACTCCTTTGTGTCTGTGGGCAAGAATCTTTAATTGTTTCTGGTATATTTCCTCTTATTCTAACTTTCAAGTGTCCAGGGGCTTGTCTCTGCTGAAGTGGATCAAGTTGTTGGGATGCCCAATGCAGGATACAGCTCTCTCCTTGCTCTCTAAGGAAAAGTTCCACACTTTTGGGACCCTTCCCTGATAGTTATCACTAAGTGAGGCTTCTTCGTTGGTAGAGCATGTCTCTGTTTCTCCTACTAGTCTGGAGTGCTCCTTTTATCCTTTGATGTAAAAGCTCTCTTTATCTGGTTTTCAGGCTGTGTTTTATGTAAGTTACTCTACAAGCAGCTGTAGTTTTACTCTGTTCATGGGAGTAGGTGAGTTTAGGTTCTTCTAACAACACTACCTTGAATATTTTGATAGAATAACAAATGCCCTGAGAACAGGATCCTGAGGCTTTGCCAAAGTGCAGTATATATTTCGAGGGCTGCTGCATAATGAGACTATCTAAGTATGCCGGTGCATCTCAAAATAGTAATTTGTCCCTGTAGTATGTGTTAGTCAGTATGAGCTAGACCGTGCTGCATCGTGCATGCTCATTAAAAATCTTATGACAATAAAATAAACATTTACTTCAAACACCAAATTCAATACAGGTTGGACAACATTTTCCTATTTTGTATTACACCACTGGACACATGGCCTCCAAGTTGCCACACTGGGGAAAAGATAAAACTTGTGGGGGAAGAATGCCAAAATTAAGTGCTGGGCGCTAGAAGTGATAGCACTTTTACTAATATTTTATTGATGATAATTATTCCCTTTACTGCCGGAAAAGTGATAAATGTAGTATTTTAAGAAAGAGGAAATGGTATGGTGTAGAGAGATAAACTTGTCTTTGTCACACGTAGCATTCACGCTGTTACATTCTTACAATATTTAAGGAGTAAGTTGGGCAGAAATACTTATTTTTTTGAGTTGAGGAAACTAAGGGATATGGAACACAGGCAGTAATGCAAAGGTCCAACAGATAGCATTTATCATCCTATATGAAAAAAGACAAACAGACATGTTTGTGATAGAAGGCAGTTATTTCAACTACAATAAATTCAATTCCCTATGACAAGTTAAGGTATCTGATGTACCTGTTTTGTTAAAATATTTCAACAACTAACCAAAATCAATCTCCTACTTTAGGTTGTTCTATAAGTCAATAATTCAACCTCTCCCATAATACTTGACTAAAACAGCTTGCTTATTTCTTGTGTTCTCTCTCTGGATTGTGTTTAATTCATCTTAGTATCCTCATTACCTAGTGCAATACCCTACAATCAATAAGGTATAAATGTTAAAATAAACTAAATTAACCATGAGCAACAGGATAAATATTAAAGCTAGTCATCAGTAGTGAGATGGCGGATGTTTGGCAGTTTTCTTGTTTTAAAAGACATTCACCAATACACTTACACAGGGCATGCTATACTTCTAGAACAAGAACTCTCTGTATAAAAGTAATGCATCCATAGGAAAACTGAAATGAAATCTCTGCCTCTTTAATATTATGTTCTCAGGGACTGAGTCACCACACCAGACTTTACTACAATAGAACAAGTGAAGCGAGCTAATGCATTATTATTCAACATTGGGGAAAAAAAAAAAAGAAATCCCTCCTCCTTCATATTCATTTTCTCCCTCCCTCCCTTTGCTCTCATTTTGCTCTATTTTTGCTCTCCTGGAAACTGTAAGAAAGCACACTGTAAGGCTTTTCTTAGGAATTTTACTGACTTTAAAGAAACCATTGCCACAGCTAAGAATAGAGATGTATATGCTCTATTGATGACAATTGCAAAAGATGGCAAAAATTCTTGCAGTGTTAACATTCTTACAAAATATAGTTTTAATTCTACTGCTAACTCCATCTAGGACCTCAATCCAATACCTTCATCTCTCTGAGCCCCCCAGTGAAGAGGTTTTATTCCTCTGTGTCTCACTGGAGGGGCGATTGGCATCTCAGTGGGATAAGCTTTCATGTATGAGAATGTCCTTCACATTGCAGGAGGATTGGCATCCCTAAATGCCATAGCTCTCTGTCATTATGACAAATGGAAAATGCCCTCATTTACAGATGGGTTCTTTCTGTATGGGAGGTACCATCCTGAGTTGAAAGCCACTACGCATGACTACTAAAAACTAAGTTTCTTCAGGTCTTGTATTTTATATTTATATGACAGATCTACTGTGCCTATTAATTTTAAAAATGATGATAAAACATTAATAATCAGTAGCCATCACATGCTTACTATGGATGCTGTGCTGCTTTGTATGGAATTTCGTTCACTCTAATAGCAAGCATGCAAAGTTGATTTTATTTACTTTTCCATTTTATAGAGACAGTGAACTTTAGAATAACTGCTCAAGGTAAGCCAGCTAGTAAATACTGGAGTGAAGACAAGGAAGTGATGAAAGTAAAAATGGAATAGAGGAACTAACATTTATTGGATACCGAGTACCAAATGTTGTCTTATATATAATTTACATCCTCTATCTTGTTGAATCTCTCCCAACAGTCTAAGGTATGCATATTTTACAGATTACAAAGGCATGAATGAAATGGTTTTAAAATATGACTTTTGGCTTCATTTCTTTTTTATTACATACTCTAACCCTCAGTAATCAAAGGCTTCTATGAGTTTATTTTAAAAAGAGCTAAGACATAAATCCATTGAGTCTCCGGAAAGTGGAAGTATAGATTTAGCTGTCTCATTTTTCCCTTATGGGACAGAAAATGATGAAAATGATTAATTAGTGAGCAGTTTATTGGTCTCAGTTATTTATTCAGCAGACATTATACCATCAGTTTCTTCATCTGCCCACAACTTCAGACTTTGTATGTTTCTTTACTACTCCCCATATCTGGCCAATTTCTCTCCTACCTTCCTCTTCTCAAGTATTTAGGGAACGAAAAGGGGCTGTACAAATTAGTCATGTTCTTTTTAAAGTTTCAAAGTGACTGCTGTAGACAGAGAGTGATTGCCTCAGTGCCACAAGAGGATAAAAATCATTCTTGCTGCTTTATTTGTGCTGGTGTGCTCTTGACGTTGATGATAAAAAAAAAAAGTTGTGATGCCATCCGGCTTATGGATTGCTGTGGAAATGACTCAAGATAACTGATCAGGGAGTGGGTGACTCATAACTAAATCACCACCAGACACCAACTGGCTTCTGCTGTGTGCTCGCTCCCGGGATGGATGTGATAGGCCTATTTTAAATGTTAAGTGTTTGGAGCACATTCCTCTCCAGGCTTGGAGAATGTCCAGCTCAAGAGCACCCCTACTAAGAGTCTGTCAGAAACCTGTTACTACAGCAGTACCTTTGCATCCTGGAAGCAGGACCTGCATTTGGACAGCCTGGTCCAGGCACAGCAGGGTTGCTCTCCCCAGTAGGTTACTTTAGAACCATGCACACCCAAGAGGGGGTGCATCTGGCTTTTACAGTGGGGAAACCTGTGTCAGAGTGATGTAGAGTTGTCATTCTTTTCCTACAGAGGGTGAGAGCAACACTAGGACCATAAAATCAAGAAAATGGAAGCATTCAGGTAAAGATACTGTGACCCAGAGAGTTGAAGTCACTTGCCAGTGGTTACATAATTTAGCAGCGGCGACATCAGGCAGGACAAGGACTGGGGACTCCAAATTCTTAACCCACCAAAGTAGTAGTTTATAAACTTTGTGGTGATTGGACTCTGCTTGGGGTTTCGTTGGAGTTGGAATTCTGACTCATAGGTTTGGGAGCATGAAGCTGAGCTGTGGATTGGCATCTTTAGTTTTTTGAGGATTCCTCTGGTTATTTGGGGTCTTTGTAGTTCTATAAAATTTTAAGATTTTTTATTCTGAAAAAAGTTGAGATTTTGATAGGATTGTATTGAATGTATACATTACTTTAGGTAATTGGGATGTTTCCATAATATTAATTCTTCCACTCCCATACACAATATATCTTAACATTTCTTAATGTTTTCAATTTCTTTCAACAATATATTGTTTTCAGTATATAGGTCTTTATGTTTATGCCTAGGTAATTTTTCCTTTTGATGCCACTATAAGTGGATATATTTTCTTAATTACTCTTTCTGCTACCTTATTGTTCATATATAAATATACAGAAGCTTTTTACATACCACTTTGACAGCCTGCAACTTTACTATAGTCAATTATTATTTCTACTATTTTTTGTTGTAATCTTTTATTTTCTGTGTATAAACAGAGAAAGTGGGGAGAAAGCACATCCTTGTCTTGTCCCTGATCTTTGGTGGAAAAGCTTTGAATTTTTCACCATTGAGTTTGGTGTTAGCTATGAGTAAGAGTGGGCATTTTTAATAAGCTCCCAGAAAGTGTCAGTGCTGTAGATCTTAGGACCACACTTTGATAGAAGGACCTCAGAGCACATTACCCCCCTACCCCAGGATTCTTGGTCTTTTGATAATAGGAACATGAGTTTTTTTCACTCATGTGTTCTTGGTAGGGAGCCATCTGGCTAGATCTCCTTTCCTTCTCGCCTCCTTTCCTTTCTCCCCTTTTCTCTTTTTCCTTTCTCATTCATTGTATTATGTTTCTTATATTATCCTAACAGCATACTAGACTATGGAAATTCAGTAAATACAGCCTAATTCTACTAGAAGGTGCTTGTTTTTAGACAGTGCACAGGATTGAAATGAACATTGCTGTCAGATGAAAAGCACTTTTATTGTGGTTTCTAGGTGACCTGCACTATTGGTGTCCTTTCTAAATCAATATGTGAAAGGATGTTTAAGTGATTGGTGTCACATATTAACAGACCCTGGACACCAAGCTGTCAAAGAGGTTCTGTGTTGGCATTCTTGAAATCACCGGTGTTGAAATCCTCTATATAAGTCTATCTGGTAAGAATGAAGTCAGTCTGTATTTACAAGGACCCTGGGAAATATGAATTGAATATCAGAAAATGTAGTCAAAGCATAATATGACTCATTCTGGGCAAACCTTAAGAGCTATTTTGGTTGGAAACATAATAATCCTTATGTTAATTTTTAGTATTAATAAAATCAGGCAGTCTTAAGACAAATAGAGATTGTTATCTTTTGCAAACTTTAATTTTAATGCTGTAGTTTAATAATCTGTAGTTTGCAGATATATTTAAAATAGGTAAGAATTGGAGTTTACTTGTTGGGCCTATATGTCATAACTTAAAAATAGTTAGGATTTACTCTACATTTTTCCAAGTGGACTTTGATACTATTCTATATTGAGGTACATTTGACAATGTATATTTAAAATGTGCAATTTGATTTGATAGGCATATGCATTATGAAATAATCATTATAATTTAGCTTATTAACATTGATTCTTCAGTTATACTTTCTCAATTTTATTTTATCTCTTTTACCTATTTAGATCTTTAAATTTGCCTAAAGCAATTTTGCATTAATTTTACCAGTGAAAAAGTGCAACGGTTCTTCAATCACCACACTGGTTTTAGAACAAAAGGAATATGCCAAAGAAGAATTGGTGTAGATGTGCATATTTGTGTAGATTTCATCAAGAAAGTAATCTTTGTTTTTTCTCATCCATTTTTATTTAAGGGAAATTGTCAAGCTTGCCATGTTGATGCATATCAGGACTCAGGCTGTCAGGGGAGGAAAATGGGGCCAGAGAGCTCTGCACATTTCCCTTCATTGTCATTGTGTGTGGTACCCCTGGCATCCTAACTAAACTCCCAGGTCACGTGCTCTACTCCATCATTTCTAAAACACTGTCACTACACATTTGCTGCTTCTGCGTGGCCTCACTGTTAATGCGTGAGGAAATTTGTTGAGATTAGAAATGGTCATGCTCTTGACAGGAAAAACACAGGGCTGAAAATGCAAGCACTGTAGGGCCTAACTGATTAATATAAGGTGAATGAGTAGACCCAGAGCAGCTTAACAAAATTTGGCAAATTAACATGCAAACAAACAACTGCCATAAATCCTGAGGGCCACTACCTTGGAGGAAGTAGTTTGTTCTCTTAATTGGACAAGTACCAGTTAGCTTAAGTAATTTATGACAATACACCATGGCTTATTAGTAAATTAGCTGCAGCTAGTGTGTGGTTTCTGAATTCAACAATGTTCCTGTACTGTGGAATTTTTCCACATGCCCTTCATAGACGAACTGGGTTAGCTAAGGGAGTTCTGTGTGGTGTATGCTGTGGCTTTGTGCACAGCTTGCTGCAGGGTGGGGGTGTGAGTTGATACATACCCCTTGCATTGCTGTAACCAGGAAATACAGTGAACTTTGGAGATAAGGATGGGCCAGGCAGGGCCCATGGCTAACTTTCTGAACACTCTTCAGTGAGAGTGGTGTTTGATCACCACAAGCCTGTCAGAAAGGAGCTCAGGTGATTTATCTGTCCTTCTTGGCAGGCCTCAAGTTTTATCAATGTCCAATTTTACTTGCTAGATTTTAGATGAAACTGTATCTTCTTTAAAATAGTCATTATTCCTCATAGGAATGGATTTCACATTGATTTCATTTATTTTAAAACCGGTGAACATCCTGGGGGTGAGGTGGCCTGGGAGAACCAGTTGATTGAAAAAGAATGATAGTGCACTAACTTGTGAACTGATAAAATTATAATAATGATCTAACTATGATGGGGTAAGTGTTTGTTGGCATTATTAAGGATGTAGTTTCCTGATTAGAAATGAAGCTGAAGAACTGGAGCTTCTCAGAGAGATTTCGCTTCTGGCAATTGTCACCTGTAATATTGACTTACACTGAATATAGCAAGATGTGATTTTCAAGAAGGTGGGACACAGGCTTTATTAAAATACTGACAGATTTGTGAAGGTTACTGATCTTTAGTTGATATGAGATCTATTGTTTCATTCAAATGAGCCACAGTTATTTCAAGTAACAGTCTAACAACACGAATATAATTTCCTGTTGTATCTTTTTTTACTTATATAGTAAAATAAGAAAAAAATAACTGGCTAGATGATAGAAGGAAAAGATAAACCTTTGACTTTCTATGGATGATTTCAAAGGTATTCCAGTAAGGTAAATGAAAGATACTGAAACCTTTCTTGAAATGATTTTCAAAAGATTCATTGTGTTGGTTCATATTATGGAAAGATTTGTAATAAATATTAATGATCAAATTTATTCTTTGAAATAGAATGAATCATGAGAAGATTTTAAAATTCAGAAGCACTAAATGTATCAATATATATAAAATGTCTTATAACATGTTTCTGTATATGGGGGATTTTCATACATAAATATTTAAAATTTTTTATGTTAAAAAATAGTACATCAAATTATCAAACTAGAAATTATTTTAATACCAACTTCAATTGTTAATTTGACCTTTACTCCATGACCACCCCATATACATATACACATATGCAGTGAACAAATCTACTATAAGATAATAATCTTATTGCTTAAAATAATCTAGTTTGTTTAGAACTTGAACATTAATAATTTTACATAATACTATCATATGATTATTTATAGTTATATATTAGTAGAGAGATTTTTTTCTGTTCTTTTTCTAACAAATATATCCCAAATTCTACATTTAAAAACTTAATCTCTTTTAGAGTAGTCATCTTAAGAAGCTGCCTTCTTTTACCAATACTTCATCCCTTGTGGGAAAAGCCCTTCATAGGATGGGAATTAGGTTTCAGTGTTAGAATTTTATCAGCTCTGAGATTAGAATTGGCCTCAGTATTGATCATCTTAACTGATTTTCAGCCAAACTGTAGAATTAGCTTCACCACATTTTTCACTTTCTTTATTAGATTGGCCTGAATAACTTTTGATTGCTTCTTTACAATGATACACCATCATATAGGCTAGTAATCAGTGATGTTAGAGATCTCACAGAAAATTCTAAAATACTTTGTATCCTGATAGCATCTGGGCAATATGTACTGCTGCCTCCCAAGTGGGGTTCTTCGGATATTCGAATTCTGATGTCATACAATGGATTACATTCATATCTAGCTATTTCTTACACGCATATGAATATTTTCTTTAAACATGTAACACTCTGCTTTTTGCTTATGACTCTTGCTTTCTGCCTATCACCCCCAGCAAAGCAGCTCAGGTCTATATGTCTTCATATTCACCAGTAAATTAATTAATAGAAATATGTTGAGGATATTTTAGTCCCCATGGGATCTGTGCTGCCAAGGATTATGAGAAATGCACCCCAGAGGCACTATCCTGGCATTCAGGTAATTTAGGGTATAATTGAAAAATATCTAAAGGTCAAAGTCTTTACTGTAATATTTTCTAAATTAAATAAGAATATTCAGCAACTACTTACTTTGGTTGCTTTCTTTGATCAGTTCTTTCATCACCCGATTGGTGAGAGAGAGATTCCTATCTGTGGGTTGGTTAGGGGAATGGCTGAACATAGAACACCTAACACTAGGCAGATGTCACAACAGCAGCTTACTAGGCACAGTCATAGCCTGCAGGGGGATGACCTGTGTTGTGCACCCGGGGTCATGTGGTGGTTATACTTGAACATGTGGGGTCTGTGGTCAGTAAATGTTATCTTAATATTGTGAGGTGACCTTTGGTTCCTAGGTGGATAAGATAGGCTTCTTTGGATATTTCTGAGGACTGATAGGAAGTGGAAGACAGGTAAGGTGGCCCTTTACCTCGCCCTATGGTGAGGGTTTTCATGGTGCACAATGCAGAGAGGAACTTGTGATTAGGTCATTTGAGGGAGGGCCTCCTGGCTTCCCCCAAATGTCAAAGCACACCAACCATTGGGCCTTATTTTTCGGCCTTACACCACATTACTGTATATAGAATTTTGAATTAAATACGGTAGAAAATTTAAACATTTGTTATAAATAGCACTTGCCCTTAGGAAGTATGCAGTCAAGTAGGAGATTTGTAAGTCTAATAAATGTAAAAATATGTGTCAGTATAAGTGTAATAAAGGTGCAGACAAAGGCACATAGAACTTGGAAGAGCAGAGGTCACCTCTGCCTGCAAGAATCTAGGAAGCCCTACTGGGTGGGTGGGGGGATCATTTTAGATGGATCTTAAGGAAAATATCTGATTTTAACAGGTAAATAGAGGAAGACCGTGAGAAGGTGGAAGGAGCAAAAATGTGGAAACAAAAAACAAAGGACATTTTTTGAGTATTGTGAGGTCTAGTTAGAGCCTAGGATATGCAGAGGAAGTTGCTGGGTGAGAAAAGGAAGGTCAGATTGTGAAAGGATTTGGACTCGTGCGTATCTTAGTTTTAGCCATTGGGGAGCCAAAGAGGGTCCTACTCTGGGCAGTGGAGTAGTCAGCGGCTTGGTCGAATCTGGTAATTTTGTATAATGTTTGGAATGGGAGGAAACGCTTAGTTAAGGTTGTTAGGAGACTTATGTCAATCTGGGAGAGGAAAAAAGCATCCTGACCAAGGGCAGAAGAGTGGCAATAGTAAGAAAGTGACATGCAAAAGAGGAAAAGACAGAACTGATAGTATTTGAAGAGGGAGAGGATTTAGCACTAATGTTCTGAGTTAGAGCAACTGAATCAAATTATTTACTGTGCAGTGTAGGATAATTGATGCTATGGGGCAGAACATAATTACTTTTTCCCTGACCTATTTGGAAATTAATTTGCTGGAGGATCTCATATTTATTAGATGTTTTATACCTCCTGAGCACTAGGAAATGAAGACCCTGGAAGAAAGTGTTTTCTTCTGCTCAGTGGTTTATTTTTTGTTACATTTTGATCTAGGACATCTTGCTTTACATAAAATTTCCATTCACCCCCAGCTGGAAGTTGGCTTCGTTGGAATCCCAGGGAAATGGTGGCTCTTATCTACGGGAGGAAGCTTGCATAAAATGGGACTGCTGCTCCTTGTGAGGCTTTAGCACTAATGTTTTGTTAACAGAACCCCAACCCAGGAGATGATTAAGTTTTTTAATGATTTATTTCAGTTTTCAGAGGGTTGGTTATAGGCATAGTAGGAGATCACGTGATGCAAGATGGAGTTCATGCCTCCAAGAGCTTGTACTAATGAATCAAACTTTTCATTTATCCTTCCTCCTCCTCATGTCTCACTTTGCCAAGATCCCACAAAGTCAGAGTTTTGTCAGGAGAAAGACACTTGGAATATTCTGTCCTCAGTTGTCAGAGCATTTTACTTACTAACTCACTACATCATTCCCTACCTTGATGCTTGAGCTGAAGGACCCATGTTTCAGAACTCTTCAGTATGAGAGTTATTGGTAGAATGTTGAATATATTTTCCATAAAATGGAGGTTGGAGTCTAAGAAGACACAGCAAAGGTAGAGACCAGAGTCCATGTATTGGAATGATAGATTCAGGCAGATCAAAAACATGGTCTTCAAATATTCTATGATTTACCACTTAGAAATATAATTAGACCCATTTGTTCTGCTCCAGTGGGATAGTTTAGAATAAAGGATTTTAAACTATAAACAAACTCCATTCAGAGATTTGACTAAAAATGGCCTCTCACCATGGAAATAATTAGGCATA